GCCCTGAATGTTTAGGTTCCACGGATAATGTTCCAAATTGGGATGGTTTTGAACTTGAAAGAGGTAAGTTTGTAGATTTTAGCCATTAAGTTACCTATGTTAACATGAATTTACTGCATGAGCCATCTTGACACCTCATTGCTGAAACGCTATTTATGTTTCTTAATATTGATGCCGACTCATTTTATTGTAGTTGTCAATCGTCGGCTGTTGTTATGGTGAATCTTCGAGACCTGGATTTAGTACAACAGAACGGGGAGTCGATAGTTCGTATGACTATGAACATAATCGACTTAGAACTGATGAAGTTGTATATTTTCTTTGATTTTCTCATGTCGGTTTTCCAAATTCTGAAATCTGTGTTCAAAAAATGGTGTCTTTACTTGAGCACAAAAAATACAATTCTTAAGAAGAATGATGGCAGGTAATTTGGTTAGAAAAACCTTGGTCAACTATTATAATATTAATAAAATTAAATGTATCTGTATAATACCATTTACATCAATATTTCACTATTTCAGGTTCATGGATATATTTTAGGAGGTGCATGAAGAAAAATGGAAGGAGCAATTTCAAGAAAATTCACTATCATTCATTTTATATATTTGATGTATAGAACCTTAATGTGCCCATTCGCATTATTTTCTAAAACATATATGCTTCCCCTAGGTATGAGNACTCTTTTAATATATGTAGGATATATATTGAGTGCCTAGTAATTTAAGTAATATAACAAAAAATGAGATATAATAACTAATTTCAATGATCTTTTTAAACTTGCATTATCTTCAAAATAATTAAAGTGTTTACTGTTTAGATAAACACAATGGTAAGGTTTTTCCCTAAGAGTAAACCTTTTAGTCAATGTTTTGAAAGTCGACCCGAGCATCATCTCGAAAAAGGCCAAGGATGAAAGTTCAAAAGGTCGAACCAAGGTCCGATTGGTTATAATAAATAAGTAAATATATAAATATGCCGTAAAAATTTAAGAAAAATAAGTTAATATTAATTAACACACGTCGATAAAAGACTTTTAAACTTGTTTATATTTAATTTTCATTATACTAACTTCTAATCTCAAAAATAAAAATAAAAAATGAGACGATTAATGCAGTTAAAAGTTTCAACATATTATTTATATAGCATTTTAGCCTATGTTTAGATTTCATTTTTTCTACTACAAACTTATAAGTTACCTTTCAAAGTCAAATTTTAATATCGACCACATATTTCATGAAAAGGAGTTTATATTGAAAAACAAACTTTAATATTTACCTATTCAAATAAAAATAACACTTCATTTCTCAATGTATTACCAAAAGTTGTTAAAAAAGTTTAAAGGTGTTCCATTGGTAATGTTAAAATTTATCAATTACAAGAAGAGACACCTCACCTATTCTACTTTAGAACTCCATCTTTAAAATTTATGTATAGAATTTCTCCAAGCAGTTAGAACAATCTCAACTTATTACATCTCTAAGAAGATAAACGATGATAATTGCATAATGATGTGCAACACAGAGTTCTTATGGGCAGTGACAGAGCCACACGGGGTAGGGAAGGCATGATAAAATTTGCGCGAATCAATGAAAGGTTTGAGGATAGGAAGCAGGATAAAAATTAAATTCAAACGAAATTGTTACAAAATGAAAAAATTGGGGACCCAAAATGTAATTTACCCTAAATTAACTTAACAAAGATCATGTTAAAAATATAAAATTATACTAACATAAACTAGTTTTCGTCAAGAAAACGAACAATATTTGAGTTGGAATTACGTTGATTTAAAAGAAAAGACAGTCAATTAAAATAAATCAATTATGGAGTTTCTGTATTACTGTATATTTTATACAAATGAGTATGTGCCATTTAGAGCTTCTCTCTCCCAATGCAAATTGTTTAAGCCAACTTTGATTAAGATCAATTTACTAGAAGACTGTTTGGTGGAGCTTGTAATGGTAAAAATCTCAGATCTATTTTGTTTATTTAAACCGGAGAGTAAATTCGTCATTTTACGTAGATTACTGAAAAAATGAACGAAATCAGAAATGTCTGGTATTGAAAAAAAAAAAAAAAAAAGTTGAGAATGGTTTATTAACCTCTTTGGTGGATAAGATCTACCATGCAAATTTGACTTCAAATAAAATCAATGACTAAGATCTTCATCTCCATTTACTATGCTAGTTTATCTCTTAAGTTGTTGCTTTACTTGACTAGGTAAAACACTTCTCCACGGCACAGACAGGCATACACAGTGAGTAGTATAATAGCTTAGCTTTCATTTGGAATTTAATTCAATATCAGAAAAATATATACGTAAATCAAATCAGTCGTAATGAAGAAAGTAATCAGCTTGGTGAATGTGGTACTCAACAAGTTTAAGGATGCATTGATGTCTTTTATCACAACTACGTCTATTTTTCTGGATATGCCACTAGGATTCGCCGTTATGCTATATCTCAGAATAGATCATATGGATACGAATTTTTTAAATCTTTCAATCCTTTTTTCTTCGATATTTCTTATCAGATTTTCGAGGTTAAGGTCTTTAGGAGTTATGGAAACGTTGTAGAGCGTTGGGGCCCTTTTTGGTGCATGGATTGTTGGAGATATCCTCCCTCCGACTGGGCTCGGATAGTACCGCCAATTGTTCACGATAGGAGAGCACCAGCAACGACAAGAAGACGTTCAAATTTAAATATTAATCAGACTTTTGTCTTAACGGTGTCGGTGAACCGTCCAAATAGTTGGAATTGCAAAGTTCGGATCATCCGATGAAGTTTGCCTGCCAACAAATTCGAGTTCCTGGGTGATGATGGTATTGAATACTTATTGAATCATTTTTCCATTAATAAAATTTTCATTTCCGTTATTCAAGTTGTGAATTATATAAACTTACTGAATATTAAGATTATAAATTAATTATTAATAATTTAGATGATTAAATTTCCTAGTTCTCCTAGCTTAAATGAACCTAATCAAAGTAGGCTGCTCTAATGGCCAGATTCAAAGGTTATTTTTCAGCTATAAGACTATCTGAACTTAAAATGGAAATTCTCTCAGCCAAATTATTGTAGAATGAGAATGAAAAATATAGCCGTTATTGGGGCCCACATAAGAGATAGAAAATTTGAATTTAAATGTTGATGTGATGGATAACGGTTATATTTTTCATTTTAATGAGATAATATTTGTTGACCCTTCAACAATTAAAAATTTCTTATTCTTTTCCAATAACATGACATTTTGTCCAAAAAAATTGAATTCGTGGGCTTTAAGTTGTGATTTATCATTTTTAGACAGTTCAAGCTATCTAAGAGCATGTTTGCCCAGGATTAAAATCCAATTTTAGCCCCTGTTTGGTCCACATTATTTTTTTATTCTCATTCTTCTACTCATTTTCAACCACACATTCTTCAATAAAATAATATTTTTCATCACATCAATAATTTTTCCTTCTTTTTCAACCACATATTCCTCATCACATCAAC